GCCTGGCATAGGAAAGGCAGATCTCTTGTGAATGGACACCCCATTAGCCTGGCATAGGAAAGGCAGATCTCTTGTGAATGGACACCCCATTAGCCGCCCCAGTGCCACACCAGACAGCAGCTATTCTGGGGTAACGCCTGAAAGGGCCCTGACCTACCAGGCTGACCTTGGCTGTTTGTGGCAGGATGTGGCTGGGGTATCTTCTGGGTTATTAAAAGTACCTGATAGGAATGTGTACCTTGGGGCCTGGTAGATAAAGACCATGTCACTTTGTGAGTCTTGTACGTCACCAGCTGACTTCTGAGAAATATTTCTTGCTGACGGCAAGCCTGCCCTTGAGCTCCTGTCACTCCTCAAGGTTGCCACCTCTGGGCTCCACTTTTGTTTTTTTCCCCCTTTTCCCTGAGCGCGCGCAGTGGCTACTGCAGCAAACCAGAGGCAGCCGGCTGAGAAGGGAGAACCGAAAGGGATGCATGGAGGTAGCCGGCAGATCAAAGGGGCAATGGGCTTGGGGTCCTCCCCAGATGGAGGCTGAGGCACTGGAGTAACAGGTGGATGGAGGAACTTCGGGGGCCACTGCTGTCTCCACAGAAGCCACAAAAGTCCTAGAACACCAGCAAAGTTACCGGACAGCTCCGGGAAATTTGCTACCTGTACGTCTCTTCTTTCCATTGTCACCTTTGTGCCTCAGCAGGCAGTGGGCTGACCAATAGGGACCACCCCCCTCAATAGCATGCCTGGGTGCAGAAGGAGTCAGAGCATCTCCATGTCACCAGATGGACACCAGACCGAAACCTGGCTGGACGTGCGTGAGTTCACAAGGAAGGCTTTGGAAAGTGTATTAGTCTGGGTACTTTAGAGAAACAAATCCACAGAAACTCACATGTATAAGAGAGTTTTATATAAAGGGTAAGTGCACATCAAGAAAACATCCCAACCCAGTGCTGCCCAAGCCCACAAGTCCAACATTAACCCATATGTCCGACACCAATCCAAAAAGTCCTCCCGCATCTCACAAAACACACTTTTGCAGTGATGCTGACTGCAGGAGGAAAGCCGAGTCAGTGAGTGTGTAAGCATCTCAGCACTGGCAGGGGTCTCCACAAGGCTGCTCCAGCACCCAGGGCTGCGTCGGGGTAGGTCCATGGGGCTTCTCCTCAGGGATGTCTTGTAGGAAGTGAGCCTTGCCAGCTGAAGCCGGGACCTAGCTAAAGCAGCTGCACCCTGGTCTGACCATCACAAAGCAAGAAACCGGAGAACTCGAAAGGCAAGGCTCACTGAGCCATTTATCTCTCTGCCTTTCAATTAACCCCACATGTGTTTATCAGCCAGGTTGGCACAATAAACTAACTAACTCAGAAGAACAAAGGAACTCTAAGCCATTCCAAATGCTTACTGAACCAAATGTCTTTTTTGTTTTTGTTTTGCTGGTAATATAGACATAAAATTAAATTTACTATTTTAATAATCTCTAAGTGTACCGCCCTTTGACATTAATTACATTCCCCACGCTGTGCGAACATCACCACTGTCTACTGCATTTTATGTGTGTGTGGCAAATCCTACAGCCCTCTCACATGTTTGTTAGTTTCCTATGCATGTGAGGTGCTTTATACTCGTATACCTTCTCTATATCTTCTCTATATGTATTTTGTGCAAAAAATACCCTACTTATAAAGTTGATCATCATCCCAAACAGAAACTGTACCTTTGAAGCAGTAACTCCTGGTCTCCCACTGCCCCAGCCCGATAGCCGATGATCATCCTTCTGTGTCCTGCCTCTTCTATTCAAACGTTGTGAAAGCAGGATCATACAATATGTGCCCCTTTGTGGCTGACTTCATGGAGCATGATGCTACCAAGGTGCATCTAGGCCACATCCTATTTCGGAACATGGTT